GTCTACTTCTAGAAAACAAAGAGCTGTTAACTAGGCTTGTTTCAGCAGTGTAACAGAGAAAACTATGGAAACAAATTACCCATCAAGATTATCAGCACAATACTATTCCTCAGTAGATCTACAGGCAGCACAGCCACTTATACTGAAAGGAATTTAAGAGCCAACCACAGAATAAGTAACAAAAAGATGTATATGGGGATGGTAACATTTGTTTGCCAATGAAAAGGGGCATGTGACTGAGGATGGTGACTCAGGACTTTACCTTTCACCAAGAAAAGCATTCATCTTACTTGAAAAGTTATCAGGGTTTTAAAAACTAATATTAAAACTTTCTTTGTGCCTGCCCCCCACACACAGAAAAAAAATACAAAAAAATTGCTCATTTTCTTACCATGCCCTTGGGTCCCAAAGTGCTCTTTACCAAGTCTCCAATGGCGATGGCACCAATAAAAGAAGACTGGAAGGAAAATAGAAAAGATCACCAAGATTTTATAGAGGAAAAAAAAAAGTACAACTTTATCTTTAAAAGAATGTGGGACAACAGGCTTACCAGACGAGCTGTCTCTGCCCTCTCTTCATCAGCTCCAGCCTTAAAGATGTTAACAGGTGCAAGGGAAAGGGATGCCTAAAGATGAAGAAATATTCCATCTGAGTAACAATCCTTCTTAACACATATAGTCAGACACCTCCCACTAGACGTACAAGTAGGTATCTAAGAGAAAGCTTACAACATAGTAATTTCAGACAAACGAGGAGTCCACCACTGGAGCAGGTCAAATCTACTTTAACAGAAGGGAAGGGGACTCCCAGGAGGGCACTAGGAATGAAATCACACATGAGAGACTGGCTACACTCAAGACGAGGTTAAACCAATGACGATGCAGGGAGAGAGAGAGCGAGCGAGCTCCCGCCGCTCCCCCGCGATCGCCGGAGCAGCGGCCCTCCATCTTCCAGCCTCGGGCCGCTCGGACCCCGCCCTCCACGCTCCGCCCCGAAGGGAAGGCGGGGCCGGTCGAGCCCTAGAAATTTCTCCGCTTTTCGGGAGGCCCAGACCCCGAGCGTCGGGAGACGCCGGAGCTGGGAAGGCCACATCAGAAAGAAGCGTTGTCTTCTGAGTCCTCTCCTCCTCCAGGCCCGCCTGCTGGGGCTCCGCCCGCCAGGCCGCAGCCAGGCCTCAGGCCGCAGCCAGGCCTCAGGCCGCAGCCAGGCCTCAGGCCGCAGCCAGGCCTCAGGCCGCAGCCAGGCCTCAGGCCGCAGCCAGGCCTCAGGCCGCAGCCAGGCCTCAGGCCGCAGCCAGGCCTCAGGCCGCGGCGCGCGCCATGTGCGGCGGGCTCCGGGCACAGGCCCAGGGGGTCTGCGACACGGAGACCACACGGGGAGCAGCGGGGCGGCTGGGCACCGGAGGGACGACCGGGCCCAGGAGGACTGGGGTGGGAAAGGAGAGAGAGGGAGAGAGGACAGGCTCACCATGGTTCTGAAGAGATCGGCGCACAACCTTCTCCCTCACACCTCACGCCCGGAAGGCAGCAGGAGGGGAAAAAAGAGGGCGGAAGTGACGACGCACGCTCTATGCAGGGGGCGGGGCCGAGCCTGCACGGCGCTCCAGCCCGCCACTGCCAGCGGAGGTACCAGTTTGATCCAATGGTCTGTGGGGCGGAAGTGCAGCTCTTTACACCGGAGGAGGCGGGCGCTTGGCTCGCGCTCCGCCCCAGCAGCGGAAACGGCTGTGGGGAGGGAGGGGTGAGAGGGAAGGGGGAGGAGGGGTGCTGCGGGGCGCCCGGGGAGTAGAACCCGTGAAGAACAAAGAGACTGGGAGCCGCCGGGGCTGCCGCCGCGTCGGGGTTGCTGGTCGTGTAGAAAATAGGCGTCTGGAGGGTTTCTCCCGCCCGACCCGGTGATTCCCCAGCCTACCTGTCATTTCCGTTCTTGGCGAAGAGATCATTTCTTTTCAGGAAATGTATTTGACAGGCATTTGGGTCGTGAGAGGCCAAGGCTACTAATAATACTGAAAAACAGCCGTGTGGGGTTTGTATTTATCCGTGAACAAGTGAGATACCAGAAGAAATCCCATCCCGTGGGCTTGAGGTTGGGGTGAAGATACAGGCCTGTGGGCGGGGGCCGGATCTGCCATCTTGCCTCCGACGACGGGACTCCCGTGTGTCCTTTCTCCGTGAGATCCGGTCTAATTATATCGCCCAGGCTAGCGTTGAACTTGAGATCTCCTCAGTCTCCCGAGAGTTGGGAAGTGACAGCTTCGAATTACCGGCAAGTAGCCGCACCAGACAGGACGCTCCACTGCAGTGTTTGACTCTTCTTCCTTCACTTCTTCCGTGGGTGCTTCTCCACAATAAAAGTTTCTGGAACCAGGCTGCATGGGTTTGAACTTCAGTTTAAAAAAAAAAAAATACTAGTGTTGTGCTCTTAATAGATTTCGTGAGCTCTTTGAACCAATCCTTCATTGAGAGCTGTTTCAGAGTGACCAATTATCTGAATTTATCAAATTTACCAAAAACCTATCTCATAGCTCTTTATAAATTGCACAGCAATTGGTATTAAGTGCGTTTGTTTCAAGGTCTAAGGTGGTGGTGAGGGGTGGGAGTCAATGTTCCAGTAGACTCTCCTTGCTCATTTCCCCTCCTCATTGCCCCTAAGTTTTTATTTCTATTAAGGAGTCTTGTGACCCTTTGATACCCTTTTTCTGTATTTATTGGCCTAGGTCAGTTGGCTTTTTGGTCAATTTCTAGTTACATCACCTCTGTGCCTCAATTTCCTATGTAAAACGGAGATATCTCACAAAACCATAAGTCAGAGGGAATTGCTTAGAGCAGTGCCCTGAACTATATAGTAAGCCCTCCATTCAGGCTATCATTCCAAAAAGCTTTTTTAAACACTGTGGCTTAGGGCTGAGTGCACTTGGCATACTATGGAAAGCATTGTGGCATAACATTGATAGCTAGAGGTGACTTGGGGAAAGGGAGGGGGTTACGGCCCTAATTGAAATAACAACCAGAGTAGTTAAGGTTTGGGTCTTCAAGACCCAACAATTACTGGGGCATGGAAGCCAGAAGTCCACTTCCAAAGTCCAGACTTACTGTTCAGGCAGTAGTGAGAATGCTGGAAAACTTACTAACATCCAAGTATCACATCCAATTCTGACAATCCTCTGGTGAAGTTTTTCAGTGAGAACATGACACTTGAGTCTTAGAAATTAAAGTCAGAATCAACATTAGCATAGGATAATGTGTGAAAATGCTTGGTAATTGTTAAATCAGTACACAATTCAAAATTCCAATTTCTAGGAAAAGAATTTACCAGTATTCAAGCAAGACAACACTGTTTTGAATTACAGAGCTGCTACTGTTGATTCTGTTAGTGCTTACAGCTACCTTCTAGCTCCAGTGGTTCTACACTAGGCTAAAAATGGCCCTCTGGTGGTGGTGGTAGTGGTGGGTAGGAGAGAAACTTAAAAAAAAATGTGGACCCTGAGACTATAAAAATGATTAAGAGGGGCTAGGAAGGTGGCTCAGTGTTAGAGTGCTTGCCTTGCATGCATGAGGCCCTGGGTTCAATAAGCAGAAAAAGCCTGAAGTAGTGCTGTGGCTCAGTTGGTAGAGCGCTAGCCTTGAGCTAAAGAGCTGAGGGATAGGGCTCAGGCCTAAAGTTCAGGCCCCACTACCGGCCAAAAAATAAATAACACTACTATAAATTGTTTGGAAGAGAACAGGAATCCTAGATCTCCTGTCCTGAAGTTGCCATGTTCCACAAAGTTTTGATGACATGGCTGGACAACTTGCTCATAATGTAGTCTAGAATATCAATTTATTTTATATATATATATATATATATATATATATATATATATATATATATATATATATATATATATATTTTAGTTAGTTGTGGGGCTTGAGCTCAGGGCCTGAGTGCTGTCCCTGTGCTCAAGGCTAGTGTTTCTGCCACTTGAGCCATGATACCACTTCCACTTTGAGGGGTTCACTGGAGGTAAGATTCCCATGGGTACTTTTCTGCCCCGCCTGGCTTTGAACCATGATCCTCAGATCTCAGCCTCCTGAGTAGCTAGGATTATAGAGGCATGAGCCACCAGCACCAGGCTTGAAATTTTTTTAAAAGGTGACAATTACCTTGCTTTTCCTAAAGTGTACATACTATTACTATTCTAAAAGTATCAGAAAGAAATTACCTCATAATGTAATAATATGCCTTTAAGGCTTAATTCTCTAAGGTGAAAATATATTACCCCTACTAGAAGGGCTGGTTCAACTATCAATTTTTTTGAGAACAAAGTCTGTTATCTTGATGACTAGCTCAGAGTCTTGCTCATGCTCATTTGTTAATAAGAATGTGTGAGGGGCTGGGAAGGTGGCTCAGTGGTAGAGCGCTTGCCTTGCATGCATGAGGCCCTGGGTTCAATTCCTCAGCACCACATAAGCAGAAAAAAAAAAGCTGGAAGTGGCACTGTGGCTCAAATGGTAGAGTGCTAGCCTTGAGCTGAAGAGCTGAGGGACAGCACCCAGGCCCAGAAAAGAATGTGTGAATAGTTACTGTCCTCAGAAGAGCTTCAAAGGAAAACTACATAATCCAAGCAAGTTTCTAAAGTCTAGAAGGAATGTTCCGGTTTTCCAAAATGCAGTCTCGGCTACCATATCATAACCAATTCAAGTGTTTTCATAGGGTCTGGAATGTAGTAAGTACTCAAATCAATGAACTATCCTTAGATGGTTTAAACAGTCTCTATCTTGGAGCCACCTCAATTACATTCAGCAAACTCATTCATTCAGTGGCAAAAATCAAGTTGGAATGTCAGAGCTGAGAACTACTAGAATGATAAAACTGAGAAAGTATGTCAAGTAAACACATAATTTTTAGCGTAACAGAAGCCCACGTGAAAATGGAAGCAGTGATGTAAGACTAAGAAAGATAAAACTTTCAACATAAAGTTTCAGACAATATATGAAATAGAAATACAGGAAAGCTTTAAATAGGTATCCAACCAAACTTTTATTGCAATCTACTTTTGGCAATAAGGGGAAAGTGACCATAAAAACTGATTAGGTTTTATTCAACAAAGCAGTTTTTCCATGAATGCTTAAAGTCAATGTATAGTCAGCTCAGTTTCCAGTATCAAGTTGAGTACCTCATCATAGATATTTATACCAGAATGACAACAGTAAGGCATTGCAAGATGCTACATCATCTAAGATTAAACCATATTTTACATATTTTAGGACAGTAAAGTATACTAATAATACTCTACAATAAATAAGGATTTTAAAAATGTGTTGCTTAGCCCTTGTTGAACAAAATTCAATTAGCTTATTCTTTAAGTACTCCAGTTAATAAAGGTTTGTACTTCAAGAACTCTAACTTTTCCAAAGATAAAAAAATTAGTTATATTTTTATGACAAAAATTAAGCTTAAAAGCACATTCACACTTGTCCTCAAAAAGCTTGTTTACATCATGTACAACTTCTGCCTGACGACATGGCTTATATGGCAAGAAGTTATATATTGAGGACTACTGGGGGCAAACCTCCCATCCCCATGTCCTCCAAAAAGCCACACTCGGCCTTAGTGTAAAAGTTATATTTTATTGCCATGCTACAAAATGTACGAAGTTGGCACTGATAGGAATAAAGAACGAAAGGTGGAGAAGGACAGAGGGCAAAAACAGTGCTGTTACATATACAACAAGGTTTCATTTTAGTTAACAGTGGTTAAGTTTTTGCCAGAATTAAGGTTGTGAACCAAATTTAAAATGCTGATATGAAACAGCATTAAAACCCAATTTATGCAGTATCACTTCCATGGAATGTTTATAAAAGCAACCATTAAGGGCAAGATTCCTATTTCTTATACAATTTGGTAAGGTAATCCCACTGTTAAGACAATTTTTATGAAAGAAAAATTAAAATCTAATTAGCTACCTTTATACAAAGATGCTATATTTATGCCTTTATGTAGGAAAAAAACATTTATAATGCAATTAGGACATACAATAATCTTACAATATTATACAACTAGATGAAAATAAAATGTAACGTAAGATTTGTCTCTTATAAAATGTGTTTTGCATTGACTAATGCAACTGTGGCACACTGGTGACTACTGTACTATTAATACCAGTATGTTGCATACTATAATTGTTCAACTGTCAGAGAATTAATAGTTCTAGTGATGCTACGAAAGAATTGTGTTCTACCCCCAAAAAATGAGGAAGCAGAGATGGGGAACAGGGATGTAAAGAATAGAAAAAAGGAGAGGGTGCTGGTTTGGACAGAGTACATTGTGGGATGTCATAAAACATGTTAATATTTCAAGCCAAAACATTTTCTATACATTCTGTAATTTCGTACCAATGCCTTTATTCAGATTTGGCAAACATCAATGTAATAGTACCTTATACTCACACATCAAATATGAATGAGATGCCAGTATAGATCAGTTACTTCTGAATGATGTCGCTAATGGTATGTCTATTTCAAGAATATATTTATTTATACATACACATTACACATTGCACAAAACGTTTGGGTGTTCTGAGTTAGAGGACAGTACAGAGGGAACTGAGAAGTACTTTTAGCTTGCTAAAACCTTACCTTTAGGTAAATACATGGTGGCACATAATTGGGAAATTAGGAAAACATAAGGCCCCTGTCCCATTTTTAATAGAACATTACTGAGGTACATTTTTATATGCTGTGCCACAGATTTCGGGGGAGGGGTTGGAAGATAAACACCAGCTTGACTTATTTTTATAACATTGTATGGGGAGGGAGTCAACATTAAATCTATAAAAAAAACCTTGCTTGGCAAATTTTCTAATGTGATCTAGTCTGGATGTACTGGGAAGTGAAAAAGCCTTTTGCTGAGTCTTCAAGAGTAAAGTGCATATCTCATCACTCCACAGCAACAGTAAATAAAAGGAACTCTGCCAATCTTCCTGGAGGGAGGGAAGGCACCATATTTTCATTTTTTAAAGGAAGATGAAACTGAGAAATAAAACACTGAGGAAGAACATATATAATATCAGTTTCCAACTCTGGTCTGGGATAGATGTTATGAACCACATAGATAAAAGAGGAATGTATTTATTTGGGGGGAAAATATGAGCATGATTCTATTTCCAAAACCCAAAGTAGGTAAAATGGTCTAAGAACAGAACTGATTATCTAAAATTAGGCTTGTCTCAGATTTTCTGAAACACTAGGACACAATTATGTACCAATAAAATATCTCATTCTAAAATGTACCTAATAAAAGGTACATTCTTTCTGGACAAGGTTTAATGCCCACACAGAGGACAAGTAGTATTCTAAATGACTTTGTTTATTAAATTAGAACAAAGGTGATTTCCAGAAGACATCTAGAAATTAACACCAGATGTATATTTCCTCCTAATAATCTACAGTACCTCAAAATCAAATTCTTAGCAGATAAATTGGTCCCATTTTCATTTTTAAACCACAAAAGTATTTAACATATAAACTATATTGATTATAATTAGTTACCTAAAAAATATAAAAAGTAGAATCTGGAGGAAAAGGGGAAAAGGATTGAGGGAAAGAATAAAGTATACAACCTCCCAAATGAATAAACAGATCAGCCCTTTCATTTGGAGATTAATATTCTGCTTTGACTGCTTATTACAAAGATAACCATGTGCATTGAATCCATCAATATTATTCTTTCCACAATACAAAAACCATTACAGAAATTTGGCACAATTAGCAATCTACTCAGAAGAAAGGCTAAATAGAACAATATATTAAACATTGAAACTGCAAACTGCATTAGGAAACTGAACATCTACACCACTGCTCTTTTTAAGAGAACAGCAAACACTTTAGAAAGCACCAGGTTCACAGCGGGGAAGGAGGGGAGTGTCAGAAAATTCTGCTATGCTAATAAACCAATGGCACTGAAAATGATCAAGACACTTGCAATTATTTATTTTTTATAATGGTCCCACTCTTCCATCCTGCTAATCCATTCACTGGTCCTAGGACTAGGTTATTTATTGAATAAATTGGATATTATATGACTAAAACATTTTCACATTAAAGTAACCTAGTCACATCTGGTAGATCCAGATCATAATGTCAATCTTCCTCATATTTAGAAAAAACTAAAATATTTTTTTGCAAAGTTACCTAACCTTCTTAGTGTTGGAATTTCAAACATTCTTGATTTTTCCAAGAATTCAACATCTGAACTGTCATCAGTTTACACAAACTTCAGTGCATTTTAGACCCTAAAATATGACACGATCTCAGTACTACAAGACTTCTACGGTACCTGCCATGCTGGTAACAATTTAACATTTCACTGAAATCAGAAGATAGTCCAAGATCCAGTCATAAGAGAAAGGACAGCAGAGCCAAAGAACACTAGAGTGGGCAGAGTATGACTACAGCCATGTTGCTGAGGAAATCCCTGCTAAAGTGCTGGGGAGAGTGCCCACAGGAAAAAAAACAGTACCTTTAGGGAACTTCGCATGTGAAAAGTATTGTTTTGTTTCATTTTCTCAGCTACTAAACAGATCACCTATGGACACAAGTGAAATTTTAAATTGAGAGTCTATCTTATCAACTTGAAAAGTAAACAGCATATAAATAAATACTGGACAAGGGCAACCCTGTTAAAGAATAACAGTAAGTTCCAAATGAACCTTCAAAACCATAACTGGACAAAAATGCAAACTAACAATGAACATATAATCCAATTTAAAAACTATATACAAACTTAAACATCTTCAGTTGAAAAAGACATGAAGTATCAAAATAAGACAACCCAAACACCAAAAAAAAAAAAAAACTAAAGGTAAATGGGAACCTATGGCACAAATGCCTCCAGAAAACAATGTGATGACCATAAACTATAGGAGAGAAATGTCAAGATATCATGGTTTCAATTTTCAAATGTTTTTGGGTAAAGTGACCTGAGACTGATTCCTATTGTAATTCTGAGTAACATATCTACATATGCCCTTCAAATGACATCATGAGATGAGTAAACAAAATCTTGTCTCCTGCCTGCCTGCCTGCCTTTCAACATGCCAATAGCAAACTGTCTTCATGACATAGGACTCTTTCCAATAACACTGAAGGCTAAGGAGCTGACTGGTATAAAGATGTAATTTTTTCTGTTTCTTTTACATGTGTTTTGGCTCAAGTCAAAAAGCCTTTACTTAATGAAATAAAGGATTCCTCATGTTACATGCTGGAGACCACATACTGCAAAGAATGAATCTACAAGTATTACTTTCAAAGCCTAGACTTATCTTTTAGCAATATACATCACCAAGAGGCTTTAGAAAAGGTTTGAAATGCTAACCATGACTTAGACATGAAAGGTATGTATAAGTCTAGAATATTGAATGAAAGTCAACCAGCATGTCATTCACTTTTCAACTCTCATCTTAAATAGGCACTGTGAAAATGGAAATGCTGCTATACAGTAATGAGTAGTATATAATGAAATTAGTGTTAAGGAGTACCTGCTCTACATTAATTCCCTTTAATTAAAGATGCTCATGAAATATTCAGAAAATTTTTTGGAAGTCTATAAAAGGAGTTAGTGTAGCAATGAAAATGAAGCACTTGCATCTTCATCTTTCGAACTTCACAAAGGTGCAAACAACATGATGCTTTCCAGGCTCACATAGGCAGATCAGTACTATTATGTCTAGTTTTCCTAGACGTACCATCATCACGTGGAAGGGCTTTCTGCAAATTTGACATGGCAGCAGTTCTCTCGATGTCTATCACAGCATACAGCTCTGTACGCCTGGTAGGCGTTTGTGGAAGGGGAGTGGTAGGCGTTTTTGGAGTCTGAGGGTTGTCAGAGTCACTGCCACCTTCCAAGTCAACCTGTATGTAATTAAGCTGCCTGTGTTCTAAACTCGGGCGTCTGATATCAAAGTTAAAGACTGTTGGTGTACAGTCCCGACGCCGTGAATAGTCTATTTTGTGAGCACTTGCTGGCACAGATACATTCTCTGTATTTACATAGTTATGCATTGGATCGAGATTATTATGATAGCCGTTTAGAGACGGGGTCTTTGGTCCTAAAGTGTCATCCTCATCTCTACTTAGCTTGCGAGCTTCCCAAACAGGAGGCAAGGATGGTAAATTTTCATAGTTTAATAATGCAGTTCTTCTCTGAGCTGAGTTGTTGATATTCTGGGTATCTGAAGTACTGGTGGATGTCAGACGACCCCTCCGGACCCCTGAGGCACTAGGGATAGATAGCCCATTTATATTTTCATATACCAGTTTGTTAACAGAGGGTGTGTCTCTTCGTTCATCACTGTCATAGCCAGTGTCCCATTCTGTATTGTTTGCACCACTTCCACTAACTTGATCTCTTCCAAGTTGCTCCAGTTTCTCTTTTTCCATTAATTGCTTCTGAACAGGGGTTGGTCCTAAAACAAATTTGACTCCTTCAGGTTCAAGGAGAATTTGAGGGTCCCTGTCTTCAATACTACTTGGTTCTTCTTTTGGTGTGTTGCTTTCAGCATTAGAAACCCTTGACTCCAATGGGACATGTACACTTGCACGATTTTTCCGCTCTTCTTGCACACCTGTGGTGTTAACATAGGTATGTACCTAAAATGAAACAGAGTCAATCAGTAACTTGTTTTAAAAACAAAATTAGCGTAACCACACCAGTTACCTTTATTTTATTTTTTGCTTTTGGATTTTTGAGATAGTATATCACTGCCTAGGCTGGTCTCACTCATGATCTACCTGCCTGCCTCTTCCAGGTGTTAGGATTTCAGGGACATTAACCACTCCCAGTTTCTATCAGTTAATTTTATAAACTCTTTTCCCCCTTCCTGTGCTGGTACCAGGCATCAACTCAGGGCTTCCAGCTTTTAGTTGGCTTTTTTACTTTAGGCTGGCACTCCATTACTTTAGTCACATTTTCACTTCTGACTTTTTGTTGGTTAATGAGAGATTAGAGTTTCCAGGCTGACTTTGAGCTGCAATTCTCAGATCTCAGTTTCGAGTGGTTAGGATTACAAGAATAACTACTTTAAAATAATAATTGTTGGGACATGAACAACATTCTGAAACTAAAAAATCAAGAATAAAATTGAGATTGTCTTTTCTGTTCTAGAAATTTTCATCAGTGCATTAAAATATGATTGAGAACTATGTACTGAAAAGACACATTTTTATCATTTTATCATTTACTGATTTCACTGTATGAACAGAAAACCCCTGTTTAAGAGTTCTGTGAAGTGTATATATACAAATGCCACATACAAGATTAGAAGAGCTCAGTGGTAGTATGGAGAGAAAAAATAAAAGTGTTTGGAAGTATATACATAAAATTTTATAGATTTGACTATATGCCAGAAAATGCATACTATTTCCTTAATTGCCCAACACAAAAGTAATATACAGTGTAAGTTAGAAATCAAACTGAATTAAACCTTCAAGTATTAACACAGTAATACTCTAACTCCATAAAATCACTATTACTGTTATACAGAAACATACGCATACTTGTTCCTCAGCCACAAGCAAAGGATGTGTAGATTCTTCACCAACTGAAGGTAAGCGAGCACTTCCCACAGAAGGATGTCTGCTTGAAGGATGGGACGAAGCATCTCCAAATGAGGGATACCGGGGATATCCATTAGGTAAGTTCTGAGCAGCAAAGCCCGGAGCTGAGTTTTTGTTTATTGGTTTTCAAAGGAAGACAGGATACAGGAATAGGGAAGAGAAAACCAAAATTAGTAAGAATCTAATCTGCACTGGGGATTAAGGAAGACAAACATGGCAACACATACAGAAATTAACATACAAACAACAGTCTCAACCATATTTCATTTATTCATTTCTTCATCCATTGTTGATGAAGGGGCCTTAAACATGCTGGGCAAGCACTTTATCACTGAACTACACTGAACTACATTCCTAGTACTTCAGCCATACGCTAGATTAATATGGGGTACTCATATTAAAAATACTTAAAATAGGGGTTGGGAAGGTGGCTCAGTGGTAGAGTGCTTGCCTTGCATGCATGAGGCCCTGGGTTCGATTCCCCAGCACCACATAAGCAAAAAGAAAAAAAGCCAGAAGTGGTGTTGTGGCTCAAGTGGTAGAGCGCTAGCCTTGAGCTGAGGGACAGTACCCAGGCCCAGAGTTCAGGGCCTCACGACTGGACCCCCCCCCCCCAAAAAAAATACTTAAAATACTTACAACTATAATCGACTACTTTTCAAAAACAGTTATATGTCTATTACAATGGTGAACTGTATTGTTATAAATATCCATAAGCTATAGCTTCTGTATGTCTGCTCTTTCAAATATGAGAGGGAAACTGGCTACTTACTTGTAGGTGTTCGAGGTGTTCTAGGGACTTCCAATTCTGTCTGATGATTATTCCTTTCTACAACTGGCTCTTCTACCACATTTATGCTGTTATTTTGCATAATTTCTTGCAACATGTTAAATAATTCTTCTGCACGGGCACATTTAAAAGCAAAAATTCCTACAAATAGAAACCAAATGGAAAAAATGGCAACCATACTCTTACAAAAGCTAGAGGAACACATGTCAAAGACCAAAACTGTCAAGTAGTTATGTCCCAACAAACCAGAAAGGCCCCTTAAATAATTTTCTGATAAATAATACTTCTTGCTTCAAATACAATGACAAAATTTGACAGAATAATTTCCATTTATCTAAGGAAAAGGTCCCCAAACAAACATAAACAGGACTTGCACAATTATTTTAGTCTGCTTTTTATAGCAGGGGGATCCAACTCACCACTAACAAGGCAACCATTTACCACTGAACAAGCCCATACTAGGAGCTATATAATTACTGCCTTGTCTATTGTTATAATTCTGTAAGACAAATATTACTGTCTGCTTTTTATAAAACTCAAGGCCAGCCGGGCGCTGGTGGCTCACGCCTGTAATCCTAGCTACCCAGGAGGCTGAGATCTGAGGATCGCGGTTCAAAGCCAGCCCGGGCAGGAGAGACCGTGAGACTCCTATCTCCAATAAACCACCAGAAAACCGGAAGTGGCGCTGTAGCTCAAGTGGTAGAGCGCTCGCCTTGAGCTGAAGAGCTGAGGGACAGTGCCCAAGCCCAGAGTTCAAGCCCCATGACCGACCAAAAAAAAAAAAAAAAAAAAACTCAAGGCCATGCAAGTTAGTATGTAACAAAAGAAAACAAACAAAATGTTTGACTCCAATGTTTGGGTTCAAAGTAATGATACTAGTAATTAATTTAAAAATCTTAAAGTTTAACACAAGTTAAAATTTCTGCCATAGACAATGTGCTTAATAAACAAATATTGTACATAGTTTATTTTCTCTTTTCTTACTACCTGTCTTCTTTGGGAAGTGTCTTTCAGACAAGATGTTAATTTTAACTGCATGTAGGATGACTGATAGAACAATATTTCAAATGGTATTTGGAGGTGACAAGGGCTTTACTTACCTTGTCCAGTTTGACACCTCCGCCCACTTTCAAAAGAGAAGAGATTTGAGTCATAGCCATAGCGGCGCAGGCAGAGGTAGTGCCATTTTACTGAGTCACGCTTGCGGGTATATAAAATCAGTTCTGTGTCTGTAAGTTCCATTATGCCAGAACCTAACTCATTCCCATCATCATCTACATTAATAACCTTAAAAAAAGAAGATGGAAATGATTTCATCAATTTGTCAGAAAAATGCAGATGCTAAATTAGTTCAATCAGTCAGTCGCTTATTCATTTGTGAGTGTAATAGCTAGTTTATATCTAAAAGGAATTTGCACTCCCATTGGAGAAGCAAGATATATAAACAGTCAACATCATAAACTTATGCATGATTACTTGACATATAAACACAATGGAGGATGCAGAAGACAGAAATTAGGGGCATAATTAATTTTGAAAGGAAATCAGATATGAGGGAAAATCCGGTATTCAAGACGTAGGATACAATATGAAGATGGGATATTAAAATAGAACAAAGAAGGCACCTTTCAAAAAGACAAAATTAACAATGGCACAGAGTTCATGTTAAGGAAAGGACTTATATTGCTAAGCTTCAGAAAATGCTAAAGACTAAAAGCTATGATTTATGGAGAAGTTATTACTCCCCTGGGGCAGGGCAAAATGATTTGCATTTATTTCCCCCCATATAATTCTCTTAATCCTAAAATTCAGGTTTCTGCTGTACAAAATAAAATAGATTTAGTGATAATGTAACTTGCCCAAGGTCACAAAGTTGAGAAATAACAGAGGTATGATTCACAATAAGTTTATGTGATCTGGAGGCTATGACTTACAGCACACTAAAGTTGGATCAGGAGACATTAAATTGCTATGGGTGTGTTTTGCCTATTTTAACAAACAGGCTTATAAATGGTAAAGGAAGATTAATTTGATGACAACCAAAATGAAGGATTACAGGTTTGCTGAAAGTAGGGAACAGTTAGGAAATCAAGCCAAGCATGATAGTTCAAGTCTGTAATACTAGCACTTAAGAGGCTGAGGCACAAGAATTGGGAGTTTGTGGCCAGCCTGGGCTATACATAGCATGTTCCAGACCATCCTGGAGTATATACAATGAGACTGCCTCAAAAACAAAACAACAGAATTATTTAGGTATATATGATAATGATTGCTGAAAAGTAGTCTCATGAACTGGATATTAAGTGTTCCCCAAAGGCCTAAGTACTGGGAGGTGATAGAATCTTTAATCTAGACAGATGGGTCTATTGGTAAGTATTTGGGGTGTTTTTTTGAAGGTTATAGTGGGATCCCAGACACTTCTTCTGGCTCCTGGCCATAAATGGTGCCTTTTTTCCCTTCCATATACTTCCACAATGGTGTACTATCTTGCCACAGACCCCAAACAATGAAAACAATGGCCCATGAACTGAAGTCTTCCAAACTGGGCACCAAAATAAACCTTTCCTCAATGTAAGTTGATTTGTCTCAGGCATTTGTTGTAGTAATAGAAAGCTAATAGGTGATGATGAAAGTGAGATGGTACTACAATTATTACTTGGATACAAAGGACCAAACAAATGTTTTGTCTTCCCAACAGTTCATGTGATGGAGGCTTAGTCATAACAATGCTGGGATGGTGGGACCTTTAAGGGGTGGGGCATAAGGTTCTTAGGTCATTAGGGCATGCCTTTAGAAATGAATTAACACAGTTCTCTGTGTCTCAATCCAGTCACTCTTCAGATTCTACCTGAAATAGGATTAATAGTTCTTGTGCATGCTGCCACCATCAAGATATTATCTACTATGAAAATGATGCATGAAATGATGATGTTTAAGCTTCCAAAAGTATGAGTTAAGTAAACCTCTTTTCTTTATTAACAGTCTCAAGTATCTCATTATAGTCATAGAAAATAGATTACTATAATCCTATACTGTGAGGAAGCAAATGTCATCATTTATTCAAGTAAAAGAGGGAAAGAAAAAGAGGAGACAAAGGGGTCTAAAGGGAAAGAAAGAGGCAAGATATATTAAGTAAAGCATAAGGAATGAATCTGCCTAGGCAATAAGATATATAGCTCAATTGGTTTTACTGACCTTAAATTTGTTCCGATGGCTATCTGGGACAGTATCTTTATCTGGACAGCTACAACAGCTACCCATGGCTTCTTCAGAAGACCATGTGATCACTACATGAAAAGTAGTTTGAAGAAAATTACTAGATGTAGGACACAAAAAGTATAAAACAGAAATACTACAAATCATCTAATACAACCATAATATTTTGATGCAGAAAATTAGTAATTGGAAGCTAGATCTCATACACTAGTGGATCAACTTTACTTAGTGATAACAATAAATTTTACAAAGCAGATGTCACAATAATCTCAAACTTCCAGTTAATTACAAGATATGCCTATCCTAAAGTGACCTTTAAAAAAACTCCACTTACAATCTAGTGTATACTATCTGAATAATTACTTTCTAGTTGTTTAGCAGTTAATCTAAGCATTAATGTGTTATGGTTTATTAAGAATTTCCTGAATTCATCTTTAAAAAATAATGCCAAAAGGATGCTGAACTGCTGGTTTAACAGGTATTTAGATTTTTGTTACATTGTAGTATCCTTTATTTACCCCGTGAGAAAAGAGCTGATAAGTAAATAATACAACTTCAAATTCAGAATAATACATTAATAAGAGTAAGGCCAACTCAAACTTCAAGGAGTAATGTAACACAGAATACTGGCAGACCTGATATACCATGTTTATTTAAATCTGTTTTTCTGATTGGGGGTGGGTGTTGTCCTGGGGCTAAAACTCAGGGCCTGACTGCTGTTCTTAGCTTTTTCTCTCAAAATGTGTGCCCCACCACTTGAGCCATGTCTCAACATCTGGTTTTTTGGTGGATGACTAGAGTTATGAGTCTCATAAACTATCCTGCCTGGCCTGGCTCTGAGCTACAATCCTCAGATCTCAGCCTTCGGAGCAGCTAAGATTACAGGAATGACCTACTAACACCCAGACAAAGCATTACTTCTAACAAGGGAAAAAATCAGAATGACTGTGGTCCTTAATACATGGGGAGGGAAAAAGCACAGGAGCTATGAAACATAACATTAAGTCTGGTTAGAATGTGAAATTTGGAATTAGCTGCCTGTAATCCTAGACACCCAGAGGCTGAGATCTGAAGAACCAGGTTCAAAGCCAGCCCAAGCAAGAAAGTTCCTAAGATTTGTATCTCCAATTAACTTCAGAAAAGCTAGAAGTAGGGCTGTGGCTCAAGTAGAACAGCAGCCTTGAGCAAAAAGGCTAAAGGACAGTGCCCAGGCCCTGAGTTCAAGCCCCAGGATGGACACATACAAAAGGTAAAATTTGCAAAATGAGGGACCTGGAGACACTAATAGAATTTGTGACCAAGGTGTTACCCAAGAAAAAGTGATAGGATTATTAAATAGGCTGTGATGAGACTCAACAGAGGATGCAGGCCAACATTGTACAGTTCATTAGCTGTACTTAGAAGTCCAGAAGAAAGACAGTTCAACTGGCACAGGCTCAAAGGATAAGGAAATTAAAAGATGTTGGTAATGAAGGATTATTGGACCTGGTCAGGGAAGAAGAAGGCAGCTACCAAAGTAAAATATGGGGGGAGAGGGGAGCCCAAAGTTTTTTGGGTTTTTTTGGAGGGGGTCCAGTCGTGGGGCCTGAACTCTGGGCCTGGGCACTGTCCCTCAGCTCTTCAGCTCAAGGCTAGTGCTCTACCACTTGAGCCACAGCACCACTTCCGGCTTTTTTCTTTTTGCTTATGTGGTGCTGAAGAGTCGAACCCAGGGCCTCATGCATGCGAGGCAAGCGCTCTACCACTGAGCCACCTTCCCAGCCCCGAGCCCAAAGTTTTAATAAGTTAAAGAATAGAGTAATAGGGTTAGTTGGCTTGAGGAAATAAGGCTGCTGGAACAGGTTCATCTTCTAACTGCTAAAGGGAGGCTTTTGTTGTTGTTTGTGCCAGTCTTGGGGCTTGTACCCATTCAGGGTCTGGGTACTGATCTTTTTTTGCTCAAGACCAGTGCTCTACCACTTGAGCAACAGCTCCACTTATGGTTTTCTGATAGCTAATTGTCCCAGCTGTCCCAGCTGGCTTTGAACCTCAATTCACAGCTCTCAGCCTCCTGAGTAGTTAGGATTATAAAAGTAAGCCACTAGCTTCAGGCAGGAGGCTCCTCCCTCTCTTTCCCAAAGCTCAGCACCAAACTCAGGGTCTTGTACTTGCCAAACAAGACTCTTCCACTGAGCTAAAACCCCAACCCAGAAGGCTTTTTTAAATGTAAAATGTTCATCCATATCTGTCCCCTCCTCCTAAAATACAAATTCCTAGGCAGGGGAAAAGAATAGATACTCTGCATTTTTGACCACCAGATTAGCATCTGGAAATTACATTTGAATTATCTGAGATCAAATGCACTAATATACACTAATTAAAGACTTGATGAAAAGCCATATGATCTCAGCATGTACTTCTAAGTCAAAAACTCAGCAAAAATATTAGTGGCCCTATACTATCTCAGAAGAGTAGTTCTCCCTAGGAGTACACTCAAGAACAAAAGCTTCTAGAGTTGGGAAGACTGACAGTGCAACAAGTATGGTGAATATTTTACATTAGTAAATACTGTTTTTGGTAAGATTTAAGCCATCTGTCCTTATTCTTTGGGAATGAAGGAGTCAATAAATCAGGAGATAAAATGGCTGCAAATAAGAAAACATTAAACTCTTTAGCTTGAAAACCTAAGTTGTGGAATTAAAGTTCTCCTCCCCCCCCGCCCCCCCACCTTTTTTTTGGTGCCAGTACTGGGGCTTGAACTCAGGGCCTGGGCACTGTCCCTGAGCTTTTTCACTCAAAGTTAACCTTCTACTACCTGCTCCATAGCTCTACTTCCAGCTTTTTGGTGATTTCTTGGAGATATGAGTCTCAAGGATTTTCCTGCCTAGAGTAGCTTCAAATCTCAATCCTTAGATCTCAGCCTTCTGAACAGCTAGGATTATAGGCATGAGTCACTGGCACAGAGTTAGTTTTTTTTAAGTAAATTCCAACTTACCTAGATCTGGCCATTAATATTCTTAGTCTCTGTTGCTGCATCAGGAGTTCACAAATATTTCAAATACCATGGCTTCCTTGTTTGCTGAAACCTAGAAGTTGTACAAAAAAATTATTTAAAAAGAATTTCTGGTTTATTTTTAAGATAGGAATTTTCCTTATGAGACTTCTAGAAGTAGAAGTAGTTGATCAAGTAGAAGTAGTTGATCCATTTAAACCAACTCAAAGGGTCTACATAATGCTTTAAAATTATATAAAAAATATAACATATATTTATATATATATTATAAAATTATATAAATATATAAAATCAACTTTTAAAATAGGATCTACCATTCCTTTTTAAAATAAAAAGTAAAAAAGCAATAGTCTCAAGTTCTGCCTTTCTTTCTGGCTTCTCCACTATATCTATGTCACTGTACAACTTTTTTCCCCCTCCCTGGTTGTAGGGCTTGAACTCTTTTTCACTCAAGGCTAGCAGTCTACCATTTGGAGCCACAGCACCACTTCCAGTTTTCTGGTGGTTAATTGAAGATAACATTCTTGTGAATTTTCTTGTCTGGGCTGGCTTCAAACAGCAATCCTCAGATCTCAGCCTCCTGAGTAGATAGGATTACAAGCTTGAGCCATTGAAACCTGGCTAAATTTTTTTTATTTTTTTAATATTGGTTCTAAGGCTTGAACTTAGGGTCTGGGCTCGGTCACTTAGCTTTTTCCCTCAAGGCAGGCCACAGTTTGAACCATAGCTCTACTTCTGGCTTTTTGGTGGTGAACTGAAGAGTCTCACAGCCATGTGCCAGTGGCTCATCCTATAATCCTAGCTAATCATAGCTACTCAGGAGGCTGAAATCTGAGGATCTCAGTTCAAAGCCAGCCCAGGCAGGAAAGTTCCATGAGACTCTTATCTCCAGTTAACCACCAGAAAACTGGAAGTGGCTCTGTGGCTCAAGTGGAAGAGTGCTAGCCTTGAGCTGAAGTGTGCAAGGACAGCACCCAGGCCCAGAATTCAAGCCCCACAACCAACCCAAAAAAAAAGTCTCACAGATTTTCCTGCTGGCTTCAACCCACCATCTTCAGATCTCAGCCTCCTGAGAAGCTAGAATTACAGGCATAAGCTACACATGTCCTCAGCTATAAAATGAGGGGTTAAACCACCTCCAAAGTTTCATTCCAGTTCTAAAGTATTATTTTAGCCAGGGGCAGACTAAATCTCCTGGCGAGTTTTCCTAAACCTCACTGTTATTTATCCTGAAGAACACTCTTTAGAATCTACCTGCTGTGTTTTCTATTTCATAAGATTCCCCAGAGCTAGATGAGAGTTAGCAATATATAAATAGAGCATAAGGAAAAGCATTCCACAGTGTCACAAGACAGTCTAGTTACAATATACATTTGGAAATTTTTTGGTCTATTTACAACTGAAAAAAATCAGTCACACAGAAAGACACTCATACTTATTGAATGTTTATGCTATCTCATGCATTGTTAAAGGCTACAGGTAGAGTCTCATTTCAACCTATACAAAAACCAGAGTTAACAAGTAGGATATACAAAACAAACATTTCCAAAATCACGTACCCGCACACAATTATTTCAATTCTGGATTTTACATAATCATCATGCTAGATGCTTGCTTACACACGTGAATTGTGGCTACAATCTCACTTAAGATGGGTAGCAATCTAGTTCCTCTTCTATAGTACTCCTTCTGTGCACCAGAAAGAGATGTACACCTATCATGCTTCATCTCTGTCTTGTAAAACTGCCCAGGGATAAGCTAATTCTACCATAAACAAAGTATCTTATTTGAATATATATTCTCTTCATTCATCTCTCTCTTTCTCTCCTAAAAGCGTTAGCAGGAGGTGGGAATGTGGTTTAGTGGTAGAGTGCTTGCTTAGCATGCATGAATCCCTGGGTTCGCTTTCTCAATACCACATAAACAGAAAAAGCAGGAAATAGCACTGTGGCTCAAGTGGTAGAGCACTGGCCTTGAACACAGAGAGGCTCAAGGACAGAGCTCAGGCCCTAAGTTCAAGCCCTAGGTTCATCCAAAAAAAACAAAAAACCAAAAAAAAGCTTTAGCCAATTAGCTTGGGAAATCTGTCTTTATTTCACTTATAGGCATTCTCCAACTCTATTCTGAGCTAAAGGACAGTAAGTGAGATTAAGAGAAATGAGAACAGTTGGAGTCTAATAGCTCATGTCTGTAATCCTAGATACTCAGGAGTAGAGATCAGACTGTTTAGGGATAGTCTGGACAAAAAATTAGCAAGACCCCATATAAATAAACAGCTGGTTATGGTAATGCCAGCCTATCATCCTAGCAATGTAGCATGCATTAACAGGAGGTTCACAGTCTGAAAAAAGAACTGGTATGTGGCTCACATAGAAGACAGCTTGCCCTGCAAGTGTGAAGCCCTAAGTTCACCAGTATCTCCAAAAAGAGGAAGAAGGGATGGAGAAAGGGAGAGGGATGGGACTACAACTGAAAACAAAAATCAAGAAAAAGCCCTACAATTTAAAATGAAGGTAAACAGAATTGGTGTACCAATGTATAAGCCTTTGATCTCCGTTTGGATCTCTATAAAATTTTCTGACCTCTTTTTGAAGATCAGTATTTACTAGTATATTGTTTAATTATTTTTTTCTATTAAGCATGGCCAAAATAATATAGAGCTTTTCCTTGCTTTTACTGTTTTCACTACAAATATCCAGCATGTCAGATGTTATTGGGGATTTAAAAGCTTTTTGTGCCTCATTCAAAGGATATTTTCTACATGAAAACACATTCTGAGTTCCAAACAACTGCCACACCAAAGCCCTTTTGGTGTAAACACAAGTCAATGGACCATGTATGTACTGCCTCTGACTGGACTTGACTCAAATACTCTCCATGATTTTCTTAACTCCCTTTGGCTTCTCCCCATTGTTGGACAACTAAGAACCAAGAGGTAGGGCTGGGAAGATGGCTCAGTGGTAGAGCGCTTGCCTTGCATGCCTGAGGCCCTGGGTTCGATTCCTCAGCACCACATAAGCAAAAAAGAAAAAAGCCGGAAGTGGCGCTGTGGCTCGAGTGGTAGAGTGCTAGCCTTGAGCTGAAGAGCTGAGGGACAGCGCCCAGGCCCAGAGTTCAGGCCCCATGACTGGACCCAAAAAAAAAAAAAAGAACCAAGAGGTAATTTGGAGGTAGTAAGGAAGAAAGAGATGTTGCAATAGACCTATTGCTCTTTTGCTGTATCATGTCATTTTCCTATTAAGTAGATATACATCGCGTGTAATGATTACTCAAAAAGAGTACCACAATTTTACCAAGGAAAATATCAAGAGGCTGAGAAATACTGTCAACTACCACTCCATTTTTTGTTGCAGCAAAGTGAGGGGAGTCAAGACTGGGACTCAAAACTCAGAGTAGCAGACATTTTAGTTATTGGCTAGCACTCTATCAACTGAGCCATGCCTCCAACCCCAAAAACTCATTTTAAAGTTCCTTGCTATGGGCTAGATAGACATAAAGTCACATGGATGATCTAATTATTCCAAAAACCAAACTTATAAGATAGACATTACCATTATTTTCGTAGTCTAAATGAGGAACCCAAGGCTTGGAAAGGTTAGGTAACTCCAGGCCAACAGTTAATCATAGGGAGAGCCAGGCTTAAATCCCAATCTGACTCCAAAGCACTGGCCTCTATTAATACGTAAAAAACTTTAACAATGCCTACCATACAGTAAGCACATAGTAAATAAATATGTATATATAAATAATTCATCATGACACATAACATACTGTCTATATTTCCTCATTTATAACATTAGGACATCTGTTTCATAGGTACTGAGAAAAACAAATTTTGGTTATAAAAATACTTAGAAACACATACAGATTTTTTAGAAACATGACATTTTTATATCACCACTCTAGGAAAAGCGCATCTTTTATCTTCCAAAGGGCCATTTATACCATCAGCACAGAAAAACCTAGAACTTAAGAACCATCCTTATAACAAGCACTGTATGAATTTAGTATAGCTGTCATAAATTATTCCGATGATTCCTGCAGAATGACAAGCAAAAAGAACACTGAACTTTGTTCACAAGTCTGACTATATATTTGGTGCTTAGAAAAGTATATTTGCGGGTTGGGAAGGTGGCTCAGTGGTAGAGTGCTTGCCTTGCATGCATGAGGCCCTGGGTTCGATTCCTCAGCACCACATAAGCAAGAAGAAAAAAAAAAGCTGGAAGTGGCGCTGTGGCTCAAGTGGTAGAGTGCAAGCCTTGAGCTCAGGGACAGCGCCCAGGCCCAGAGTTCAGGCCCCACGACCGGACCCTCCCCCCCCCCCCCCAAAAAAAAAGAAAGAAAGAAAGAAAAGTATATTTGCTTTCTCATGTTCACTACACTAAGTGTGAATTTTACTTATACTACAGAAATTGTTTAAACATAGCCAGGACAGAATATACAGCTAGAAGCCAGGCACCGGTGGCTCACCCCTGTAATCCTAGCTACTCAGGAGGCTGAGATCTGAGGATCACAGTTCAAAGCCAGCCAAGGCAGGAAAGTCCGTGAGACTCTTATCTCTAATAAACCACTAGAAAACTGGAAGTGGCACTGTGGCTCAAGCAGTAGAGCACTCGCCTTGAGCTGAAGAGCTGAGGGACAGCGCCCAAGCCCAGAGTTCAAGCCCCAAGACCAAAAAAAAAAAAAATTAAAAAAATATATACAGCTAGAAGCATGAAAACATACTTAAATATTATGCACAGCTAATGGCCAAGTTAAATTACATTAAAGCTATCAACAGAATGGTACTCCATAATTTCCTTTTATTGTCTGCATAGATGTGTGTGTCTGTGTGTATAAAAAATATATATATAATAGAGCCAGGTGCTGGTGGCTCATGCCTATAATTCTACCTACTCAAGAGGCTGAGATCTGAGGATCCTGGTTCAAGGCCAGCGCAGGCAGGAAAGTCCATGAGACTCTGATCTCCAATAAACCACTCAGAAAATAGGAAGTAGTGTTTTGGCTCAAGTGGTAGAGTGCTTGCCTTGAGCTGAACAGCTGAGGGATAGTGCCCAGGCCTAGAGTTCAAGC